CATGTGATTAAGTGAGAGTATTGCTGTTTCCAGCATTTCGAAGCTGCAGAGGATTACATTAACTTGTAAGTATCACTAAAATATTATGGCTATAATATATATATATATATTATGGCAGTCTTGGTTTTGAAAGCATGTTTGAAGGTGAAAAATTATCTGTATTATGAAATCAGTTGTGATGTAATGTGATTTCCACATCTCTTTTCCCAAAAAAATTGTTTGTTCTGTAAGAGCAATGACTTTGGTTTAGTTGTCTGACCTTACTGCAGTTGATACCTGCAAGTTAAACATTTGCTAGGAGTGGGCATATCTGATCATATTCCTGCATTTTCTGTCAGTTTGGTTGTGAAAGCATACATTTTTATTTAGAGGGCCACAAAACCAAAATTGTTGCTGTTATGAACTTTCAGTGTAAGTAAGAGCTAGGGAGAAAGGGAGGCATTCCAGAAGGTGAAGGAAATATGTAATTTACTAAATACTTTAGGTTTTGTGCTCTTTCCACACGTCTTGGAAGCAAGATCAAAGAGCACCAGATCAAACTGAAGAGTGTGTAAGAAGAGGAAATTGCAAGTGGAAATTGATTTGAGTAGGGGGCCATGAAGTAGTGGAAAGAAAAGTGATTTGACAAAGTGTTTGGGGGGGGCTGGACAAATTAAAGAATGTGGAGGAGAACCAAGATGTGACATGAAAGTGTAGTAGACTGGTTAAAACCCTGGATGTCAGGAGAGCAGCCAGTGGAGGGTGGAAGAGATGATGAAGTTTGCTCTGACTTAGCTAGCCTAGAAGTTACAGGAATGTGCTACAGCGTTCTTCGTTCACTACTTAACGCAGATGAAGCTCTGCTTTAATTTTACTGAAAGTGAGTCACTCGTTGCAGAAGTGGTCTCCAAAGGATTGAGATGAATACTGAGGTAGCAGGAGTATATGGTACACTGAAGGAGGGAGAGAGACTGAGAGGCAACTCAGAGCTTTGACAAGTTCAGATGAGGGAGTTTATGAGTTTTGATTTCGTTAGAAGAGTCCTGCAATTCCCAGTTTTTTGAGAACTGTGTTAGGCTAGGTCAGGCAGTTAAAACACTTGAAAAATTAGACAGAATTAACAATAGTTATACGGTGGCATTTTTGGCACTTGCTGTCTTATGAAAATGGACTTTTGTCTGCTGAAAAGTCCTGTTGAACATGTGAGCAATTTGCAGTTATTACCATGTTCTGCTGCTTTGGAGGGTGGAGAGTCCGTGATTACCCATCTAGCACCAAGCAACCTGTTGTCTGAATCTGGCCAGACCTTGTTTGCTGCAGTGTGGTTAGGACATGCCAATCTTGCAAAACCATGAAACATGGATACCTGTTATCACCTAGACAGGAAAGAACCCTGTGTTGCCTTTAATTCCAAAGATTGCTATGGCTGTAGTGGTTTCAGACCCAAGCTGAAAAAAACCAGAACAAAATAAAAACAACAGAACCTCATGAAATCCCACCCACAGCGGGCAGCAGAGAGGGGAGAAGCTATGGTTTAGTATACAAACTTCTTGTCCTAACGTTAACTATTTGGGTACAGTCGTGCCTATTTTTTTCTTCTGTAATACTGACTTTCTAACTGACCTGAGGTTTGTAGAGCACGTTTACAGCTCTTTTGGTCTAATAATAGGACCTTACAGCTTGCCGTACTTTAAACCTCTCTGGGCCCAAAAGCTCATCTGTCTTCCCAAAGTATGTTAGTACTGTTCTCTGTCAACCTTGCCTTGCGCATATTCTTAGATAATTGTGGCTAGAGCAATGCTGGAGCATGAATCAGTAACAGATCCAAGCATCAACTACACAAACTATCTAGATGTAATTTGTTCCTTCTCCCGGCCTACTTTTGCAGGGTACATAGTTCAAAACACACTAGAATAATAAAAGAGGTATGACTTCCTGACCTCAAAGAAGGGAGGTAGGGAGAAGAATAGGCATTTTGTACCCAGGCAGACTCTTTTCCACATTGTGAGGATTATTTGAAGTCTGACTTAGGTGCATACTGCCTATTTCTAAATGGTCTTAAAACTTTTCAAAGCTTGACTGTACATATATGAACACTGAATAAGGAGAAATTGTCCCTTTATTACTTATTTTTTTTCAGGATGAAAGCCACTGTTTACATTACTTGAAGGCCTCTGTTGGTTTTCAGTTGCCTTGTCTGAAGAAGGGCCTCTGTATTATTGCACATTCCAATACTGCATCAAGTGATGGGACTTGGCATTCTTCATTGCTTACTGCTTAAAGTGGTTATATCTTGTGTTAGTGTGTCAGTTCATCCCATTTTATATTCTGTTTAGTTTACTGTAATGAGATCTGAATTGGCTGCAAGTAAAGGCTTCTGCAGATCCACAATAAAACCGGTCTAGCTGCTATTCTGGGTGACTTACATAACTGGGTAATTGTTTTATAAACGAAGGCTGTGGAGGCTTTCTGCCTAGGACACAACCCTGGCAAATGAATTTCTTCCTGGCTATACCCATGATTTGGGTGCTACAGCTTGCTGCTGCCTGTCATGTAGGAGCCTAGTGTGATATTCACAACTGTGATGTGTGGCTGGCATTTTAGCGAGCCAGTGGGCTAAATGACTGGTATTAAAGCTTTGTCAGTTCCATGGGAAAATACTAGTGTCTGCACACTCCCATAAATAGTTTACAACATCTATAAACATCCTCTTATAACTCTAGTAATCATAAAAATACATATCTGGCAAGCATATCCCACTGCATACTGCTTTCTTAAATACCAAAGGCATTTCTTCCTGTAGTGAAGTCCTAAGTAACTAAACTGAGAAAATAACTTTCTTGACAGGAAATCTGAGGGCTGATATCTTAATGAACTTGTATCCTTTACATTTCTTCTTCTGAAGACTCTTTTACCTAATGGCCTCTCCTGATTTTAGTTTTTGGAACCCAATATTTCAAATACTAGTAAAATTATTTGGAGGGTGTTTGGGATAGTGATGTGCTGATGCCCTGTTGCCATCCATGGAACTACAGACTGATCAAAATATTCTGATAACATGTTTGCATGATCAGGTCCTAAATTATAATCTCTTTTTGAATTTCAGCAAGCATACTGTCTCTTGTTTACAGCTTTATTTATCTGTGCCATCCTGATCAAAATAAAGTTTTTGCAGGCTTGTGGGCGTTTGTTTTGCTTACTGGAGATCAGAGGTAATGTAATGTGTCTTTTACTTTTGCAGAAGTTGGGATCCTTGCCAAGTCTTACATTGATCAAGGGCAGCTTATTCCAGATGACATCATGACACAGCTAGTGCTGAGTGAGCTAAAAGGCCTAGATCAGTACAACTGGCTATTGGATGGTAAGTTAGCATATTGGATATCACTATACACAGAGAGAAAATCTGTTCTGGAAAGCCTGGAGCGCTTTCATCACTTGTGGGTAGCTACACTCTAGTAGCCATCCTCTAGGCATAGTAACAGGACAGTATTTGTTGCGAGCTTGTTGTGAAACCTTCAGGAGCTCATCTGCCCCAGTTTCTTTGTCTGTACAATGCTTTGGATGCATCTGCCTTCAGAGTGTTAGAGGGATGTTTAATTCATGTTGAAAAGGGTAGTTCAGTGCTCCAGTAACATTTAAAAACTGGCTATTCTGGTAATTCTTATGCTTTATTTCCCATTTGAAATATGCATTGAGAAGTTTATTTTTTAAAAGCCTTTTATTGTTCAAGTCCCTGGGAAGTGGAACACTTTAAGAATGGGGATGAGGAATTATTTAGAAGGGCAGGTATGTGATGCAGCAACAAGGTAAGTGTGGAAAGCAAGTACTGCAGCAGTGCAGTGTGTAATAAATCACCAACAAAAACATTGCTTAAGTGCTCTAAAAGGTCTCTTTCATTTGCTCTTTGGTTCTTTTATCTAGAGTGAATTGTTCTCCAGTTCTGCAGGGGAAGCTCATTACTTCATCATTCAGGGTAGATATAAAGTGCATTTGCTGCTGTCTTCTTGAATTGAACGGCTCTTGTTACCCCTGCCCATGGCAGTACAGTTGGATGCGCAGCACAAAGATAGTGTCTAGGATGGATGTGTGTGTTTTTGGATTCTAGTCACAACTTGTCTCAGTAGATAAAATTCTAAAAAGTTGTTGGTGTGGCTTTCGATTTAGAGGGAGTGAAAAATCCACAGCACTCTGTCCCTTCGTGCTCTATTATAATTGCTTCTAGTAGAGCGATCTGTTCTGGTGGCTCTAGTCACAATTAAGTTCCTCTTTAGTGAAGACAAAGGCTTAATTACCACAGTGAACAGCACAATGAAACCTACTCAATAAAGGAAAGAGCTCCAGATGTTTTTTTTTCTTTAGTTCCAGGTCCTGTGTACACACAGTTCCAGCCTTGTGGATCTGGATGTGTAGCAGTATAGATGGGCACACTGGCAACTCTTAAGAGGAGGATGGTGTGGAGACTGTAAGAGAAAAAGTCAGTTTCTGCTGCATGTTAATGTGCTGCCTTCTTTAAACTTTTGTAGCAGAAATTTTGTCTGCATCAGCATTTTTACTGAGACTCAGTGAATAACACTAGGGATAGCTCTGGCATTATCACCTGTATAGGAACAATACTGTTGTGTTGAACTATGTTTACCAGAAAGTCTTCAGTTTGATAACTGCAACTCAGAAGAAACAGCTTGGCGGTCAGTCAAGTCAAGCTAAATAGAGTTGTTGATCTGCTTGTATGCTCACTTAGCCAAATACCCATTTCCACTGCCTTACGATAGGTTGTTGGCTTCTGGAGTCACAGCAGATGCAGCAACCTGAGTCATGTGTGTGTGGGTATGACCTCCTTAGATTTATGTGCTGTATAAATAGGGCACTTTTCTCTGTATTCCTAGATTCTTCATAATTCATCACACCTTGTAGATTATTTTTTCTGTATCAAGACAACACTGTATGTAGCAAATGCTGGTTCAGTTTCAATTAAATGCTTTTGTAACGGCACTTTAATTTGTTGAGGAAGTTTCTCATTACTAAGTCTCAAAGCAAACTGATTTTCCAGCTGCATAATTAAGATGTGTGGTAGCTGACTAGCATGTCAAAAGTACGAAAGAACAGCAGTGCTGGAGTCCTGGCTCTCCCTCTGCTCTTAACATTTAGAAGCACTTCATGAGATAAAGTGAACATGAGAGAAATAGGATGAGGGCAGATGACTGAGATGCAAACCAGATGCATTAGACTTAATGCACAACGAGAACTTGGCCTGAGTTAATTAACTGTTTCCTTTTGTGATGTGTTAGACTAGACATAGTAGCCTTAAGACTGTAAAATACTTTTTTTTTCGGTTGTAAGGCTAGTTCTTGTCTGGTTCCTTACTCAGACAATGGACTAACCAATGTTATGCAAAGAAGAGTTTCTTAAGTTTGTACCTGTCAGTACTTTGCCTTTATGGAGAAGTTTACTTGTATAACATGGTGAAAATTACAAGCTACTGAAGAACAGGAGACTGTGCAAGAGCTTTGTGGGTAGAGGTGTTATTGAAGTGAATCTATGGTGCAATAGCATGTTCTGCAGTAGCTTTGACAGATGTTCTCGTGGTCAGTTTTGTATTTTAAATTCTTTGTGGAGATCTTGGTCTTCTTGTGCTCTGTTTCGCCCTGCCTCCTTCTTAAGTTTCACTAGATTTCTATAGTAGTAACATGTGCCTTTGAAGGCATGCTGCTGGAGCCGTGAGTTCATGGGGCAAAATGCAGTGTCTTTTAAGTGAAGAGACAGATTCCTCTTCAGCCTGGGTGTTCTCACAGCATCATCCCCGATGATAGTTTGATACACTAGACTTCCCAGAACTCTTTCTAAAGCTGCTCTTTTATGTAAAATTAAGCCTGGACTGCTTCTGGTAGATAAATTGGGCTCACTGCAAGTGAATAAAAAAGGTTTGTAATGGTCATCTCCTTAAGCCAGACTTAGTTACAAAACTGTGGAAGTAAAAGTCGTCACAAATGTTTCTAGGTTGTTCCAGACCTCTCAGTGAACTGCCTGTAGCTTTTATTGTTCAAAATGTTGATACAATGCTTTTATTCAATATAGTGGTATGTAGTACATGCGTATGGGGTCTTTTTGCATTTATTTGTTATACTTTTGGGAAGATTAACTGAAATGAGGAGGTGGAAGCTGGGAGGCATTTAACAAGCTGAAGTTCCCTGACACACTGAAAAATACTTGGAAAATATGATGTCTCTTCAGCCTTTACAGTATGATGATGCTTTTTTTTTCTGTCTGACAATTATTTTTTCTAATGACTGAATGCAGGTAATTCTCACTATAATTATAGCATAATAATGGAGTTATTTCCTTTAAAAAGGTTTTCCCAGAACGGTTGCTCAAGCAGAAGCCCTGGACAAACAATGTCAAATAAACACTGTAATTGACCTAGATGTGCCATTTGAGACCATAAAATACCGGCTCACAGCACGTTGGATTCACCCTGCTAGTGGCAGAGTCTACAATCTTGAATTCAATCCTCCCAAACTGCAGGTAAGCAATACATGTCAGTGTTGGTGATAAATAAACGTTGCATTGCATTGGATAATTGCAGTAAAATATTGTTTGCATACGTTGTTGCAAAACACAGTAGCTCAGAAGAAAAAGGCTCATTTCATCTCTTAGGAGCCCAGAACCTTTCTGGTAACACCCTGCCTCTTAGGGTATGTTAGTGACCTGGTAGAAGCTTAAGCTGATAGACAATGTGCTTGGCCTCTTCAGAATGAAACACCATGGTGTTTTGTAAGCTCTTGTTAAAGCTGTTCACTGATTTGGAATACTCTTGTCTTGCACACTGGCATAGGAGTTGAGCATGTTCTTATCTTCTTCTGCAAGTCTGCAGCCTGTACAGTCCAAAATGTAGTTTCCTTTTCCTTCCTCCAGAGGACTCATTCTTTGTAATCTAGGAAGCACACTGCATCATCAGTCAGAGGAATCCACTTAACTTGTGTCTATATTTAACCAGGATGGGTATTTTCAAGGGAACAGGTGTCATATTGCAAAACTGGATGTCAAAACTTGCCAGTCAGAGAAGCTTCTGAACAGATCAAAGAGGTTATGGCTTGAGATATCCTAAAGAGGAACAGCAAACTTGAAGATGATGATTGTACATTGTTACCCTAATATTTTTGAAGGAACTTGGATTAGCCTTAGTGCAGCTCAGGTAAAGCCATATTTTATCCTTGACCCTAAGTAATTTACCTGTTGTGGCATCACATTTCACCTGGAAGCTCTATTAAACTACATCAGCATAGCAGGCCTTGTGGGTTTTGGATTTCAGCATTGCACGAAAAGAGGCCAGCTGAAAAGAAGAAGAACAGGAGAAGATCAGGTGCAAGACCACCTAAGGAGATGAGATACATCCACAAGTCCTGAGGGAACTGTCAGACTTTGTTGCTAAGCCACTATCCATCATGTTTGAGAAGTCATGGCAATCTGAGTTTGAGAAGTCCTGGCAGTCTGAATTTCCTTCTGACTGGAAAAGGGGAAACATAACGCCCATTTTTAAGAAAGGAAAAAGGGAAGACCCAGGGAACTACAGACCAATCAGTCTCACCTCTGTGCCTGGCAAAATCATGGAGCAAATCCTCCTGGAGATTCTGCTGAAGCACATAGAAAATAAGGAGGTGACTGGTGACAGCCAACATGGCTTCACCAAGGGAAAATCATGCCTGACGAATTTAGTGGCCTTCTACAGTGGGGTTACAGCGTTCGTGGATAAGGGAAGAGCAACTGATGTCACCTACCTGGACTTGTGCAAAGCATTTGACACTGTCCCACATGACATTATTGTCTCTAAACTGGAGAGGCATGGATTTGACAGCTGGACGTGTGGTGGATAAGGAATGGCTGGATGGTTGCACCCAAAGAGTTGTGGGCAATGGCTCAATGTCCAAGTGGAGACCAGTGACAAGTGGCGTTCCTCAGGGGTCAGTACTGGGACTGGTGTTGTTTAACATCTTTGTTGGAGACATGGACAGTGGGATTGAGCGCACCCTCAGCAAGTTTGCTGATGACACCAAGCTGTGTGGTGTGGTGGACACACTGGAGGGAAGGGATGCCATCCAGAGGGACCTGGACAGGCTTGAGAGGTGGGCCCATGCAAACCTCATGAAGTTCAACAAGGCCAAGTGCAAGGTCCTGCACCTGGGTCAGGGCAACCCCAAGCACAAATACAGGCTGGGCAGAGAATGGCTTGAGAGCAGCCCTGAAGAGAAGGACTTGGGGATGCTGGTTGATGAGAAGCTCAAAACGAGATGGCAATGTGCACTTGCAGCCCAGAAAG